ATCTTTTGCTATTGTGAATAGTGCTGTAATAAACATGGGTGTGCATGTATCTGCTTGTGTTATATATCTTATTTCTTTAGAGTATATACTTAATAGAGAGATTGCTGAATCATATGTTGTATTAGGCCAGGTTGACTAGAAAAACAAATCCGGTGACCCTCATCTAACTATAAGAAAGAACTTTATATCAAGAAGTAATTATATATCAAGAAAACTTCCCAGCCAGGTCCAACTCTAGTCCATAAGTCTGATACGAGTCCATAAGCCCCTCTTCAGACACACGCAGCTGTGCAGTCAGGTGGATCCAAAGTCGGTGGAATCACAGCAGCGCACCAGCAGCACTCAGGGTCAGTGGCAGAGTTCCAGCAGGCAGAAAGGTGAAGGGGCAGAAAGAGGGTGCCGTAGGCCAGGTTGACAAGAGAAACAAATTCAGTGACACTCATATAAGTATAGGAAAGAGTTTTATATCAAGAGTAATTGTATATCAAGAAAACATTTCTGCCTAGTCCGGATCAAGTCCATATGTCCAGAACTAACCCATAAAGTTCAATTTTATGGATATTAGTCCATAAGTCCCTCTTGAGAATCACATAGTCACATGCAATGATGCAGAAGACAGGAAGGGCACAGGCCGGAGGATCCAATGGCGGTGACTGCATCACCAGGGCTCTCACTGCCATCAGCGTGGCTCAAAGTGCTGGTCAATAGGAAGGTGAAGCAGAGAGAGTGTGTGTTGCCCACCTCCAGGGAGAGAGGAGGCCAGCCTCAGAAAGCCATTTATCTGTTTCCCTCTGAACAAACTGACCTGATTGAGAGGCTAAATTCCGCCCACATGTTCCTATGGGAGCCCTGTTGACACAGAAAACCTAACTATCACAGAGAGGGAGGTTCCCAGGTCCCCCCTGGTTAAAAGAAGACTACAGCCCCACAGAGACATCATCAGACCGACCTTATTGACAGGGTGGACTCCACGCCTTCACTTTCATACATCTTCAAGTTGACGTAAAATCACCTGACTACCACTTACGGCATTTCCATTCTCATTTCTTTGAGGACATACTTTCCACTGATTTCCGCGGTGGTTGTACAGTGGTTATGCCGTCCCACTAACCGTGTATGAGGATTCCAATCGCTCCACATCCTCTCTAGGAGTTATTATTTTTTGTTTTAATTTTTAACTTTGCTACCAGTGCCTGTGTGAGTTGGTATCTCATTGCTGTTCTAATTTACATTTTTGAACGGCTAGTGATCAAGAGCATTTCTTCATATGTTTGTTGGCCACACAGATATCATCTTTTGTGAATTGTCTTTTCATGTCTAATGTCCACTTGTTCATGAAATGTGTTTCACTTTTCTATAGATTTTTATATTAACCCTTTGTCTAATACATCATTGCCAAAAACTTTTTTCCATGTCTGAATTCTCTTTTTACTTTTTTGATGAACTCTTTTTATGCACAGGGCCCAGGTGGAATAGTGAATTATGAATTGGGCTGCTAACCACAAGGCCAGTAGTTCCAAACCACCAAATGCTTTAGGGGAGAAATATGAGGCTTTTTACTCCCATTAAAATTTATAGGGTCACCATGAAACATCAATTGATGGAAATGTATAAATGTGAGTTTGATGCACGCAAATGTCAAATTTTAAGAGATCTTCTAACTCACTGTCATTCAGCCCATTCTGATTCATAGTGGTCCTGTAGAGTAGGGTAGAACTAGCCTTGTGGGTTTCAGACTGTGACTCTTTAGGGGAGTAGAATAACTGGTCTTTTCTCCAGTGTAGTGCCTGGTGGTCTTGAACTGCTGACCTTGAGGTTAGCAGCCCAACTTGTAACCACTAGCCATAAGGACTCTGCTCCTCTATTTTGTCTTCTACTGTGTAGGTGTTCTCATTGTTTGATAGTGTGTTTATGCCTTGTATTAAGAACTTGTGTTTGTCTATTTTGCATTGATGATCTTTATAGTTCTGAGGTTTATATGTAGCTCTTTATCCATCTTGAGTTTGGCTTTGTATATTGTGTGAGGAATGAGTCCTGTTTCATTCTTCTGAAAATGGAGATCCAATTTTGCCAGCAACCCTTGTTAAAGAGATTATTTTTTCCTCCTTTAGTGTGTTTCAGCCCTTTATCAAAAAGAGATGGTTTGCAGGGGGAACTCCAGCCTTCCCTCTGTGGGAGCGCAGCATACCACGCAAGGCAGCTGCGAATGCCCTCCACCACACTCCAGGCTGCTGAGGAAACCTCAGTCTGGTCTCCACGGTGATCTTGCCGACTAGGGCAATTCCACTCATCACCGGTGGGACCCTGCACTAAAAGGGCACACCAACCTGCCACCTTGGGGCAGCATTTAAACCCTTCCAGCCCCACGTTCAGGCGATCAGGATCAGCTATCTTCTTACTCTTTTATTTTCTTATCTCTTCTCTTTCCCACCATAGTCAGTCTTAGCGAGCACAGTTGTGATTTTCCACTTCTTTCTGTTTTCTTTTTCTTTCTTTCTTCTCTCTCTTTTGTATTCTTTTTTTCTTCTTTTCTGTTTCTCTCCTCTTCCTCTCTTTCCTTTCACATGCCACTGCTAGCTTCCAGCCCCCTACACATTGCCTAGGCAATTCCACACACACAATGGGGAGAGTTCCAGTCTGCCCCTGTGGAAGTGCTACACCCAACACGACGCAGTGTTTTACATGGCATGGCACAAGGCTGAGCTACCTCTTTATCTATTTTTTCTCTTTTTATCCTTCCTTTCTTCCTTTGTTTTTTTTTTCTTTTTTCCTCTGCTTCTATCTCTTCTCTCTTTTGTGCCACAGTCTGAGCAGATTCAGTTTTTCTTTTTTGTTGTTTCTTTTTTGATTCTTTGCTTTTATTTTTTTTTGTCTTTGCATTTTGTGTGTGTTGGTTTATTTTTTTATTTTTGCTCTTGTCTTTGTTTTCTCCTTTGTTCTTTTTCTTCTATTTTCTTCTCTATCTCCCTCTCTTTCCTTTCACAAGCCACTATTGGCCTCCAGGCCACTCCCCGCTCACCTAGAGATCTCTTGATCTCTCTCTCCTGACGAGGTTGGCAACGAGTCACCCCAAGAAGCCACCAGCTCAGAACGTCCAGCATGTCCTCACTGCTCCCACATCCCCACACAACGTCAGGAGCCAGCAGCGCCGCTCGGGCACCAGGCTCACCACCTGGTCCAGAGTGCTGGGGGGTCTATGACTTTCCACTCTACCTGCAGTCAGCGCCTGCTGGAGCGACACATGAAGTACCGCTTTTCTGTTTTTATACAATTATTCAAAAGCATGTCCAGTCTCTGTGCGACTGCCTGAATACCTTCTGATGATTGTTTCTATGCTAAACCTCCAACCTATGGGCCATGACTGACCATGACATGGACTAGTAATGCAATATCTCTTCTCCAGGAGAGGCTTTGGATTTTATTGCAGGAGCATGTAGAGCCTCAAGTTCTCAGCCTGTGAAAGGTTGTTTCAATCCATCCTATTCACCGTCTAGTCACCCACCCACCACCCACCTGCTTTCCCACGCAGCCTCCGGTTCTATCAGTCAGTCACCCTTTCACCAATCCACCCATTCACGCATGCATTCTTCCATTTTTCTCTCTCATCTTCCCACTTACTCCATTTCACCCACTCCTATTTCACCCTCCCATCAAGCAACATGCTGCCACTTTTAGATCCACAGCACCTTAGCAGCACTGATGCTACCTAAGACTGGCTAATATGTAGGGTATCACTTCCCTTAATGTCTCCAATCATTTCCCTGATCCCCCACTCTATCAGCAGGCCCTTTCTTCCTCCATGTGCCTGGCCAACACAATCCACCTGCACTAAGCTCTGGAACTGGACATGACCCTGATGTAGTTCCTGTAGACTCAGTCTATGTCTCCAAGAAATCGCAGCTGTTCCAGAGCACTGAAGAAGGGGTTAGTTATAAAACAAGGCACACATGATGGGGCTTTGAGAGCAGCCATTGAACCTTAGGACCCATCACTGGGCTCGTTACTGAAGAGTTGAGGCTGGTGATGGTTCAATGGTTACATCGTTTATGTACCACCTTCCTCATTTTCACTTTACATGATCACCGTGTGTGTGTGTGTGTGTGTGTGTGTGTGTGTGTGTGTTGTCAGTAGGAAATGTATTGCCAGTGGGTATTTATACTCCACATTTATTAAATTTCCAAAGTGGTTTCTAGGTGCCCTCTTAGCAGTTTTCTAAATTCTTAATCCAATAGACAACCTCGGGATAAATTAAGACAAAATCGAAGTTGTCCAAAACTGCATTCCACTGTATCAAGCATCAGTATCCATGGAAGCAGCTGCCAGGAAATCAAACAATGTACTGCATTGGACAAATCTGCTGCAAACAACCTCTTTGAAGTTTCAAAAATTAACACAGTGCTTTAATGACAACTGAGGTGCATCTGATCTGAACCACAGTCTCTTCCGTTGTTTTGCATTCATGTGAAAGTTGGATCATCAGAGAGAAAGATAGAGAAATTGAGGTGTTCAAACTGGAGCTTTGTGATGAATATTGAATATGCTTGCACTGTAAACGGACAGAGAATGAGCAGGTCATCTTAGGAGACCTATAGCCAGAGTGCTCCCTGAAAGTAAGAATGGGCATGACTTTTAACAGCTTACTTCGGACACGCCATCAACCAGACACTAGAAAGGAACCAACAAAAGCCAGGAACACCCTCCAGGGACGGACTGATACAGCAGCCTCAGCGCGGATGGGACACACCAATCTGAGCCAAGAAGACGGAGCAGGACCGGCCCTGCTCAGGCTGTGGCTCATGAAATTGTCGTGTGCTAGGGGCAACTGAACAGCAAGTCACAACACCAGATTCCTGACAATCTTAAATGGGAGACACTGTGTCTTCATTTATGTAGATTCTGCTTTCCAATATATATGGCACCAAATGAGTACATTTTGTGTTACAATAACTTGGTCTTGTCAGCTTCTCTGAACCAGCTTCTCTTACCCTCAAATTATGCAATTACAGTTTCTCTGCTAAGAATGTGAAGACTTTCTTGAGAGCTGCCTTGACATCCTTGTTCCTGAGGGTGTAGATGAGAGGGTTCAGGGTAGGGCTCACTGTGGAGTAAAGCACGGCCATGATCTTGCCGTTCTCTGGGGAGTAGCTGGAGCCTGGGCTCAGGTAGGTGTAGATGATAGTGGAGTAGTACATGGTGACCACAGTGAGGTGAGAAGAGCAGGTGGAGAAGGCACGGCGCTTCCCCTCGGCTGTCCGAATCTTCAGGATGGTGGAGATGATGAAGCCATAGGACACCATGGTGAGCAGGAAGTTGAACACAGCAAAGAAGATGTCTGCCACAATGGTCATGATGTTGTTGACATACGTGGAGGAGCAGGACAGCAGCAGGAGGGGGGGGATCTCACAGAAGAAGTGGTCTATCACATTGGGCCCACAGAAGGTGAGACGCAACATCAGGCAGGTGTTGACGCCAGCACCAAGCACACTGATGCTCCACACAGCTCCAGCCAGTGCCGCACACACCCGGAGGCTCATCAGGGTGCTGTAGTGCAGGGGTTGGCAGATGGCCATATAACGGTCGTAGGCCATGGCAGTGAAGAGCAGCACCTCTGCGGCCACGGACCATGATAGGAAGAACATCTGGGTCATGCAGCTTTCATAGGAGATGGTTCTCTTCTTTGCCACCAGGGTCTCCAGCAGCTTGGGCACCACAGTGCATGCACAGGCCACATCCAACACAGCCAAGTTGACCAGGAAGAAGTACATGGGGGTGTGGAGCCCAGAGCTGAAGATGATGGCAGTCACAAAGAGGGAGTTGCTACAGAGGGCCACTGAGTAGAGGATGAGAAAGAGGACAAAGAGAGGGGCCTGGAGCTGTGGCATCTCTGAGAATCCCTGCAGGATGAATTCTGTCACCAGGGTCTGATTACTCATGGCCTTCAGTTTGTCTGTTGAGACGCTTCTTTGCCCTCCAGCCGAGCTGAAGAAGAGTGCATCCTGTCAATGGCCACTATGGGGAGGTCAAGATACTCTGTAGGTCAGATTCCCCCAAACTGAGAATACGTTCCTATTCCATTAAACTCAACCGTCAGCAAAGAAGGTCCACCAAAGAAACATGCAGGTGGACAGTAGGAGCACTCGTCCCTCCTTCCACCCTGCTGCCAGGGCCCCCCCTCCCTCCCTCCCCCCACTCCCACACTGCCTTCCTCCTTGTTACTCTCATCACCACGCAGCAGGAGGCCTCCCGAGACTGCATTCAGACCACACCATGTCTCACTCCAGTCTCTGGCAATAAAATGTCTTTGCTTGAGCCCCTGACCACTCCCGTTCATCTCAAGCCCCTGACCACTCCTGTCCGACTCCACATCTGCAGGCTCTACCTTGCTCAGAAGATGAGGCCCAGAGCCATGAGCAGCATGTGGTCCCACCTGTGTCAGTTCCCAGCCTGCCGCTTTCTCCACTCCTTCACACTTCATCCCAAAATGCCATCCTGTTCTCTGTGTCAGTAACAGGACTTCTCCCTGTTGGCCTGTCCCCTGGCTGGCTGCCCTGGAGTGGTGTTTCTGCATATCAGCTAGCAGCAAGGTCATTGTACACAGCCAGGGGCTTGGGGCAGGGAGTGCTGTAGCGGAAGCAGGAAGGCAGAGTCGGGAGTAAGAGGGGATCAGGAGGCAGACCACAGAGGGCTGACAGCTGTGAGGTGCAGTTGGTAAGGAAGCAGAGCAGAAAGGTAGGATGCCCCACCCCAGACTCTCACCCAAAGGGCCAGAGGCAACTGTGTCTGGCAGCAGAAACAAGTTGAGGGTCAAGGGCAGTGGACAGAGGAAGAAGTAGAGCAGTGGGGGCAGGGGTTTTCAAGAGCGCACGTGCTACTCATACTCCAACGAGCAGGCAGTCCTGGCGTGATGCTCCCAGCCAGGGTAGGTGTCAGGGCCCCCGGTCAGGTGCTGGAGCACCTGGAGCAGCTCCCCTTCCTTCATGCCCATGGACAGGCCTTCTGGCTGCCTTCAGAATGGAGTGGGAGTCCCTGTGCCCTTTTTCATGGTCTCTGAAAAATCTGCCCTTCAAAGTCAGCTGTCCCCAAATAGAAAGGGACTTCCACACACTCCTGCACAGCCTCTTGAGAGGGACCCCCAATATAGGTTTGAAGTATCATCCAGGACCCTAATCACAAAGGATTATTTCAAGAATGAGCGCTGTACTCAACAAGTAATAAACCCCAGCCTGCTCAGAAGGCCATTGAGCCACAGGCATCTCATGAGCCCACAGCCACACACAGCAGTGGGCAGCGCTCCACAGCGTCCTGCGAGGGGCATGGCATGGGACCTGCATGCAGCCACAGGACTGGATCACACTCATGCAGACACCGGGCCATCTTACACAGTTGGTAAACGGTTTCAGAGAAGTCAATGCAACCTAGTCAAACTATATCACTGTGTTATCTTCTACTGAGTGAAAGAACCTGTTTCTTAATATTCCAAGTTCAGATCATGTTGAAGGTTCAGCTCAAAGGGAGACTCATGGGAATCGGACGATGCTATCTATGGATTTGTGGGCGAGGCAGCAAACAAAGCCCCTTGTGGGGGTTCCTGGTTTGTGTGTCCTCGCTGCTGCAGCCATGATGGACAACTTCCCAGCAAATGTGCACCCCTCATGAGGCCGCAGCCGCAGCAGTGAGAGCCCAGGGGAGCCCCCTGCATGAGCTCAGGACAGTGGCCCCAGCCCTTCCGTTCTTGAAAACAACTGGGAGGCCAACTTATGGATGCTTCCCAGCAAGCGGGGGAGGAGCCGCCATTCCTAACGCAGTCGGCTGCTTAGTCCTGCGTCCTGGGAGCTCTGGGAAGTGTTGCTGACCACACTGTCTGGGCCATGAGACACAAGCTCTGCCCCCCTCAGCCTTCTGCTTTGTCATGGTCCAGCTCGGGCAGACAAGAAGAGAGAGCCATCCCCATCATTCCCCTCAGCATGGACAGTGTTATGAGGAGCAGGCTGATGGGCAGACAGGTCCACCCAGGACTTCAGGGCAGGGGTAGTGGGGTGCACAGCACCAAGCAAAAGAAAAAAAATCTTGCACTACAACTGCAGGGAAACCCAGCTCTGTGCTCCTTCCTGGTCACAAGGGCTGGGCTGACCCTGAATGGACACTGGGCTAGTCAGCAGATTTGAAAAGATGGTGATCAATGAGGCCAATGTACTCTTTCAGATGTGTCCAAGCAAGGCTCACCCCCAATGTCCAGGACAGAACACACACCACGCCAGTGTCATAGGTATGGGACAAAGACTCCATGAACCTAAAGCCGCCTGGTACTGGGAGGTGTGTGGTCATGACAGATACAGATAACTGGCCCTAACATAGCGACCACACCAAAGCCAAGACCATGAAGCCTGTCCTGTCTCATTCCCCCAACGTCAGAGGGGCTTCAGATGTCACCTACCTCTGAGGACAGTGGTACTGCTCTTGGCATTCCTGACCAGTATCCTGAAGTATGCCAGAGAAACTGCAAAGCAGAGAGGGTCAGAGCCACACAGCTCTGTATTTCTCACCCACTGCCCACTGCCCCAGATGGGTGGGCTGCAGCCCAGGGGGCAGGGCCAGGAGCCAGAAAGGCCTCCACCCCCCTCTCCCTCTGGGAGCCAGGTTTTCAGTGAACAGTGGGAACCCTGAAAACGTACCTTCCAATCAGAACTGCTCAGTGAGGTGTGTAATATATGAGTGAGTGTGGTGTGTGTGTGTGTGTGTGTGTGTGTGTGAGAGAGAGAGAGAGAGAGAGAGAGATGCATTGGTAAGATTTCTATGAGATTTTTGCTTTTATTGAAGTATCTTTCCATATTTTTATCTTAAGAAATAACTGTTTTCTAGAATAAGAATAAGAATGCACACCCCACCAAATTAAAAGGATTTCACCAGCGAAATTTTCATTACCTCAGTTTATACTTAGACTTAACACTGAGTCTTAGTTTGGGCTACACGAATTTTGTAAAATGACTCAGTCTCTTTAACATTACCGTGAAACAAAAGTGGATCATCTGCAGTAATACCCAGCATCGTTTAATGCTCCCCACCCAAAAAAAGCCCTACTGTCATCAATCAAAAAGTGATGACTAAATGAAAACTTCCTTTGAAATTTGAGTTTCCTTGCAGTTTCTAAAGATGTTGCACATGTACCTCACTCCTGTGACCATGAGTCACCTCTGGGGAGCCCAGGACACAAGCAGACATCCAGGATCCTAACAGGTGCTTGGCGGGGCTCTGTGTGGCCTCCAGAGCTGAGCGCTGCCTGGCTTTAAACTGAGATGATCTGCAGAGTGATGTAACCAAGTGACGGTGCCAACCCACTGGGATTCCGGTTCCTCGTCCCGTTACTTATAAGACTCCAGAGGCCCCAGGGATGAGGAACTGGCCTGTGACCATCAGGGTCCCCAGGGCCACCGAGGGGGAATGTGGCCCCCACATGGGTGGAGGGAAATAGCCTGCTGTCTCCACAGGCTTCCTCTTTGTGTGGCAAACTATATCCAGGAGTTGGAGGGCACAGGCAAGGAATGGTGAGGGGTCTGCCTTCTCCTCAAAGTTCAGCACCCACTCTCCCCAGGTGATTTTCAGACATCTATGGGCAACAGTGACACTCTTCAGGGAAACTGAGCTGGAGCTTCTTGGAAACGACATACCTAGGCCCCTCATTACATATGCAAAACCTGAGGCCATGAGAGAGAAGGAGACTCACCCCAAGTCACAGACCTTCCTATTTCACAGTGTGGCTGCAGCCAGCAGTCTGGTTTCCCAGCTCCTGGGGGGCAAGTGGGGAAGACTGGTGAGTCTAAGGCAGGACAGGCACTGACTGGGGTGAAGCGATAGAGGGGGAAGCTGAGAGCACATGACAAATGAAGGAAACTGGGTACGGGGGTCTTCAAGGCAAGCCAGCAAGACAATGCCAGTACAGATAATGGGCTGCTGTTCCAGCCTGAGCACGCAGAGTGCACAAAGCACTGTTTGTGCATCAGCACACTTCACTCTTTTTTTAAAATCGTTTTATTAGGGGCTCATACAACTCTTATCACAATCCATACACACATCAATTGTGTAAAGCGCATTTGTACATTC